GTGGATGCGCATGCGCACCCAACGGAGCATGCACATTTGTCATGTACACAAAAATAAAAAACAGTTTGCCGCGGCGCGCGCTTCTTCGTTGCGCGCCGGCTTGTCCTGTGATCGGCACCTCTCCCTTGCCATGGAACCTCCACGGTATCTCCACAGGAGATCTGATCGCGTAACTGCGCAGTAGTTTGCCCCAGGGCAAACAGCCACGCTTCTCCTCTGCAGTTTCCTGCCCGTGTGACCGGGGCCCTTTTTCAATTTTTCCAAAAAAAAGGCTTCAGGAAAAAAAATGGGAAAAACTTTGTGTTTTTCCCCCCGAATTTTTCCGGGTTTTTTCCGGGCCTTCACATCTCTAGACATGCATGAACATCCACCCATTACCATCACCCACCACCACCTTCAGCTTGTCGGATCTGACCAGCAGCAGCTCTCCAGGGTCTCAGGTAGAGGCCTTTCACACTAAAATGTGGAATGTTATGCGCTGCCAGAGGATGCCATGATGGCCACAGGAATAAACAGCTTTCAAAGGGGATTTAGACAGATTCAGGGAGGAGAGGTCTATCAATGGTTACTGGCCATGGTGACTGGGGGGAACCTCCACCTTCAGAGGTACTAACTTCCAGATCTCCCACTATTAGAGTTGACCTCCAGGTGATCAAGACCAGTTCCCTTGGAGTCCAGTAGCACCTTCAAAGCCAACAAGTCTTTAACGGGCTCCTGGACTCTTGCTCTTTTCTACTGCTGCAGACAGACGAACATGACGACCCATCTTGATCTATCTCCTTGGGGGAAATGGCTCATTTGGAGGGCGGACCCTATGGCATTGTAGCCCGCTGAGGCCCCTCCCCTCTCCAAACCCCACCCTTCCAGGCTCCACCCCCAAAATATCCAGCTATTTCCCAGCCCAGAGCTGGCAACCCTACTGAAAGAAGACTGCCATGTACACACAAACACACACCCTTATCTGCATCTAGTCCAAATGAAGCCAAGAAACGGAACAACCAAACCTAGAACAAGACCAATGTTCCCTCTAAGCTGTGGAGTCTTGTGAGCAAAAATTCTGCTTTGTGAGTTACTGGCTTTAAAGTTGTGAGCCAGCGATTTGGCTACTGCATAAATCAGTTTGCTCTGGAGCCCTCCTTCCCGAGCGGAGACAAAAGTCTGTGAGCTGGAGACTACAAGATTGTGAGCTAGCTCACAATAACTCAGCTTAGAGGGAACATTGAACAAGACCCCTTTTCATTTAAGAATAGGCTTGGGATGACTGGGCAGGCGAATCCACTTGGGCGGGGTAGAGTTTATTCAATGCCATGGGTAGTTTTAGGGCGACCTGTCCTGGGCCCCCGACATGCCCGAAACCCTCACCATTTCTGCCACTTTGAGCTCTCTTTTTAAAAAGGAAAAAGGCAGAACGATCGCATTCTATTTTTACTTCTTAATGCACCGCTCACGACATGCAGGCTTCCCTCGGCCAGCATAGGTTTCCATACCCCTTTCCTTCAATGCATGGCTCCAGACGCTGGGAAAATGTACCCTCCTCCCCCTCCTCCCCACCCGTAGCCTTGAGTCATGCGCACTGCAGCTGCAGGGAAGAGGTGGTTTCTAGGGGACCCCCCGGGGGAGAGGTGGTTTCTAGGGGATCCCCCCTCCCCCCCACACACCTTTATTGATCCAGATCTCTTCTCTCCCCCACCCCTCTCCCGGCGCGGACTCGACTTACTCCTCGTGGCCTTTGCAGAGCAGGAAGAGGGTCCGCCAGGCCTGGACGGCGGCGAGGAGGAGGGAGAGGAGGCCGGCGAAGAGGCTGAAGCGGCAGGCGGACTCGGGCCCCCACTCCTGCACGGTGAAGCGCTGCTTCTCGGCCGTCAGGTTGGCGTTGAGCCACATGCCCTCGGTGAAGAGCAGGCAGCGGCCGTGGAAGTCGTTGCTGTTCTCCGACAGGGGCACGGCCACGATGAAGCTGAAGAGGAAGGCCAGGAAGTAGCCCAGGCACTGGGCGAAGAGCGAGTTGCTCAGCGCCATGGTCGCGCCGCGCCCGCCGCTCTGCCGGAGACTGCCGAGGAAGGGCGGCGCGGGGGGGTGGGGGTGGAGCGGAGGGAGCGCGCCGCGGGGACGCGCCCGGGAGCGCGCGTCGCCTTCTCCTCCTCCTCTTCCTCCTCCTCCCGCGGCGCGCCTGCCACCTCCTTCGCCGCCACGGAGATGCAGGGAGGAGGGCGCGAGGAGGAGGGATCGGAGCCCCCGGCGCCGCTTTGGGGACGTTAACGGGGCTGGCGGTGGAGGAGCGTCCTGCCCGTCGATAGACAGCCCCCTGAGAGAGTGTGTGGGCTAGTGGTTAGAGGGTGCGGAAGACCTCCGTCGAGATCTCCACTCGAACCAGTCACGCTCTTTCGGCCTGCCCTACCTCGTAGGGTTGTTGTGATAAAACAAGGGAGGAGGAAAGAGCGGGTGGTGCTTTGAGTGCCTGGGAGCAGTGCTGGATTTACGCATAAGCTAAATAAGCTACAGTTTAGGGCCTCGCAATCTGCTGGGGCCTCAAATAAAAACACAATATAAACAATTATTTCAAATATTAAAAAGGCGTATATATTTAAATTTTTTCTGAGACCAGTAGGGGGCCTCTGGGTTTTGTATAGCTTAGGGCCTCAGCAAGTCTAAATCCGGCCCTGCCTGGGAGGACGGGTGGGGTAAAGCTGTCTTAGACAGGTAGTT